CGTGAAATTTTGATACCGTTACATCCCATATAATATGTATATATATATATATAATATATATATTAGGGATGTAACGGTATCCAAATTTCACGATACGGTAATACCTCGGTATGAATGACACGGTACGGTATTTATTGAATCATTTAAAGGAAAAACAAATCTATTGAAGAGACTCAAAAAAAAAGTGCTAGAATGTTCCGGTTACCTCAACACTGAACAGATCAATGACATACAAATTATCTATCTGTAAACTTTCAAACAGGAACTTAAATTATTCAATTTTAATAACAAAAATATATTAAACCATGTAAAAAAAAAAAACACCACTCGAAAGGACAAGCCATGAGTGAGATAGAGGTCTCTTGGTGGTACAAGTCAATGTCTCCATCCATCTGAGCCGTGTGCTGTGTTCCGCTGTCCCCTTGACTAAAAGAATCCCAATCCTGTTAGTCGTGTTTCCCGACTTGTATTTCAGCTTAGTCTGGCAGTGCCTGCATACCCTTTTTTCTGTCACCTTTTCTTCTCTTTTGTTTCTTTCCAGAGAGAAACCGAAATGCTTCCACACATCTGATTTAAAACCCGCTTTAGATTCGACCATTTTTAGCTCTTTTTCTTTGCCGCTACTAGCAGCGCCCTCCATTTCCGCATTACTGGATCTGTAGCGACAACAGAGCGCAAAGGATGATGGCCACGCCTGGGACGATGAAAATTGTAGTTTCCGCTACTTCCCATTCGCTCCATTCGCCAGAGCAAACTTTCTCAGAAGACCTATAATTTTATTGAGTCACAACCACGGTAATATTGAAAGAAATTGCTATTGCGGTATGACGGTATTTACAATATTGTTACATCCCTAAAAATAATACAATAAATACAAATTACTGCCATCATAAATTATTTAAAGGGGATACATTTGCACATCAAGAGACACTGTGTTCATATATATATATATATATATATATATATATATATATATATATATATATATATATATATATATATATATATATATATATATATATATATATATATATATATATATATATATATATATATATA